TTTTCTTTTTTTTTTTTTTTTTTTTTTTTTTTTTTTTTTTTTTTTTTTTTTTTTTTTTTTGCAAAAGTTTAGGATTGTTACAGGTTGAACCACATAAATTGGGCTCCTTGAGTGGGTAGGTCAAGAAGTTTGTTAAAACCAACAAAGTCGGTGAAAGTTGCCATAGCCGGGGTGATCTCGGAGGAGGAATTCCTCTCGAATGACCATCTGGTGACATTAAAAACTCCCCCTAAGCACCAAGTAGGATGAGTGAGGGAGGCTACACTGTTAAGCTCATCCCAAAGTAGTTGCCTTAGTGAGCCAATATTGGGGCCGTACGCAACTGTAAATTTTCACAATAGGCCATTGGGTATCCTAGAGAGAAGTATGATGATTGAATACCTCGCTATATGAGAGGAAGTTAAGGTATGGGTTGTGGGATCCCATACCTCCTGACGGCCCTTCTGCAGGTAGAGAAACCCACTGACAGGGTCAGCGTCCCCACACCTAACTGACCTGGAATAAGGATGAGTGGGGTGACTTTATTCCAGTTAAAGCCAGAAACATCGGTTTGTATTTGAAATAAAGATCCCTCACAACCTGTTTTTTGTGGTCCAAGTCGAGACTACGAACATTCCACAAAAGAATCAACATGAGGGTGAGAGTGAAAGAGAAGAGTTCTGTAGGGAACGTCTCACCAAGAGGGCCAAAAGGGAGTTTGAGAAGTGAGTGGAAGAAGAAGAAGCTCTATCATAATTGATGTTGTAGGCCAGATTAGCAAGCTCACGACTTCCTTTCTTGCTTATTCGAAAGCGAGTCTGGATTCTGGCTGAGAAGAATTCGTGGAGAGGGCCATCAGGTCCAAAACGAGGGAAGCCCATGACTTGCATAACATCCAATATTTTTCCTTGACCGCGGTCAATGCCATTCACGAAATCTGAGTCCACCGACAGTGGTGAGGTAGGATCCCTCATGGTATCAGCTTCGATTGGGATGGGAATTGAGATTATGACGGGGTCTCAGCTGAGGGGGGTCAGCAAGATAGCTAATGATCATCAGAGGGGAAAGGAGGAAGTGAGCTAACCGGTTGCCTTCCATGTCTACCGGAACGATTTCCTCCCCCTGAGCTGAAGAAGAAGGATCTTTGATACCCTCGATAGTTGTTGTCATCTCATCCCCGAAGTCTATGATTAGAGGTGAGGGTGCGTGGGGGAGAAAGTCAAGGACCAACAAGAAAGGGGAAAGAAAAGCACCAGGAAGAGGACAGTGGGGTGTAGGTAGAGCAACGTCCAAGGAGGGCAAAAGACGAGGTCATGCTGGAGTGGGCTCCTCGAGGCTGAGCAATAAAGTTTTGGGTGGCACGTGTAGAGGAGTGTTAGGGACGACGGTGGGAAGGGTGAGATAGAGGGTTTGATGGCAGGGGAATACATATATATAGAGAGAGAGAAGAACGGTTCCAATGGGGATGGGGGGAAGGGGAAGAAAAGGTTTAGAAGGACGAAATTCCTTGGGAAGACAAACGAGAGAAGAGGCACAAAATGGTGGGGGTAGGTGAAGACTGGTGACACGTGTCAAAAACTTCAAAAGGTGGGATGGTGGTCGAAGTGGGGGATGGTGACAAGGGCGAGGTATCTTTAAAGGACGAAAGGGCAGCGGTGTTAATGATCGAAGGCGGTTGAAGCAAGGGGGAAATTAATGAGTGGTCTGGACCAATTCGGCATGAGGTAGAAATAGGGTGTCGTGTGTCATCCTGGGTATTGTTGATCGAGGCAGGTGTGACGAGGGGCAAATGTTCTAGAGGAGGTGGAGGAGGCGGAGCTGGGCAGCATGCACTTGATGGAGGGTAGGGGTGCAGGTTTCCTATGAGAGATGGACGATGGAAATCACAGTTGACATGGCAGCCCCGTTCACGATCGAACCTTCTCCTGGACACATACTTCCATTGCTCCCGAATCTCGGTGGTCGACGAAAGACTAGGAGAATCTACCAGAGCAACAAAGCTGGGGGCAGGAGGGGAAGCAGTTGACCAGGAAAGGAAAAACTGGTGGTATGCTCCCGCTGCTTCAAGCCAGAGGAAAGGGGGGATTTGATGAGGCTCTAAAATGTCTATCATGGGCATAGAGTGCCAAGTGGAAAGTTCTTCATAGACTTCCAGCGGGTGGCCACGAAAGAGCCACGAGAGTTACCTATGGCCCTGAACGTTTCGAGGCACCATGCATAGAGAGAGATGGAGGAGGCCGTGAGCCAAATCTTCTAGTGGCGAAAGGCCCCCAAGTTAACAGACCATTTGGACAGCTAAAGGTAGGCTCCCCGAAAGCAAACATTATGAGTACTTGTAAGGGCATGAGCAACCCCTTCTTCTGAGGGGAAGGATTAAAAGTAAGGCCCAATGGAGAGTTGTCTGTACTACAGTGTTGGTTCCTTCCAGCTCTCTTAGGCCAGCTCTTGATACCTTTGCGATCATCTCTCTGAGGTTGGAAGACACCCACTAGAGAAGATTTGAAGAGGTGAGCAAGGTTGGAGGACTCCGATGGGACGGAGAACAAAGGAGTGGAGGGAGAGACTGAAGAAGGCTGGGGGAGCGAAGAGGAGAAGGGAGAGCCATTGATAGTCCTTGAAATTTCTGGTGAGCTATATACTTTCCCTAGAAAAATCGCATTTTCCCTCCAACTCTTGAATCGAAGAAGCCATGTAACTTTGTTAAAAGTACATATTCCAAATACATTACCACAATATAGAAAGGAGCATCTTATTGGAATAGCCAATCTGTCTAAGTAAATTTTACATTGTATGTAATTTCCCAATATTTGTTTTAAAATGTTTAATATTATATGAAGAGTAATGATTCTATGAGAACCTCCCACACCCATGTGTGTAGGATCTCAAATAATCACCATTAAATTTGACACAGATCTCTAGAATAGTTATCACATGAGTGTGGAACTTGACTTTTTTAGAGATATGTACCAAATTTAATGGTGATCCTTTGGGATTCTACATATATGGGTGTGGGAGGGTATCATAGGATCATTACTCTTATATAAAAGATAAAATTTTATAATTTAAATCATAATTAGAATAGTTCCATTTATTAGAATAATTTAACTCTTAAATTTAATTAATAAGTCTAATTTAAATTAATTTATAAATATAAATTTCTAATTATAAGCAATATCATTAATAAGAGACAAAACATAATTTAGATTTTAATTATTTTAATCATTAAGGGAGTACATTGGGTCGCTCAGGTACTTTAGGCAGTCAAATTGGTAGTCATGTCAGTATTGTCATCCATCTTCCCAAAATCAAAAGAAGTGTTGTGGACAAAAGTCCTCTTATTAGCAAAACGTTAAAACTTTAAACCTTTTAATTAACCATCCGTAATTATAATAGAAACGTAGAAATAGAATTGTAAAATACTAACTTTCAAGAGGTTTAATAAATATTTGTGCTTCACAATATATAATGATAATTAATATTTTAAATTTAATAAATTTTATAGTTAGTATTTTAGTTTAAAAACTGGGCATTACTATTAATTCAAACTTTTTCCTAATTAAATTTTCATATAGTAAACAAAATAGTCAAAACTTTATAAAAATTATAATTGGTCATTATTTCTGCAGCGGCTTTGAAAATAAAAATTTTAATCAAAGGCAAGATATATTAAATTTATTATTTTGTTATAATGAACTTTATAATTGCAGATTGAGTAAAAAATACATTTCTTAAATTTGTAGATGTAATTAATTTTAAAATTAAAATTAAAGTTTTTAAACCATTTCTAGCGTAGAAACTTGTGTGTTTTTAGTACACTTGTATACTATTATCCAGCGGGAGAAAATTGTACATTTCCGTTGGACAAAATGATACTTGGGAGGATTAATTTTTAATTGAAATTATTGGCTTCAATTTTTTGTTCTTACTTATAGGACGGTCTCTATTGAAACTTGAGACCTTTTTCCAGGATAAACTTTCTATATGCCGCTGGGCATAGGGAATTCATATTTGTCGTTCTCTCCTGACCATCTGATTTATATGAATGGCTGGGATAACTTTAGCCATAATGTCTCAAGTAAGCCTATGACAATTTAATCTTAGATTTGATGGCTCAAAGTATTTTGTTTTTAATTTTTCTATAGACCATATGATTATGAAATTTGATGTGTGTCACCATCCCAATGGAGCAACCCTATAAAATATTGTCAAAAAATAAAATGACCAAACCAACATTGTAATTTTTATGGGATATTTTGGTGATTTATTTTACCCAAAAAATTTTATTTATATATTTTCATAAGTGCAAAACTGTGAGATGATAGGATGTCTTAAATTGGGTGTCAATCGGTATAGGGAATTTATATATACCACCCTTTCCCAGCTAACTGGCATATCTAGGATTAGCTTCAACTGTATGTTACAAGTGAGCCTCTAAAAGTTCGATCTTAGATCTGATGGTTCAGATTATTTTAATTCTAATTTTTTTACAAATTATATGAACATGAAATTTGGTTCATGTCAGAATGTCAACGGGACACATCTAAAAACATATAAAAAAGTTTCAAAAATTAAAATGACCAAACCAACCCCTAAAACTTTTAAGGGTATTTTGGTTGTTTTAATTTATCATGAATATTTTTTATTTTTTAGATTTTCATAGATACAAAGTTATAAGAGGATGAGACACCCAAAATTTAGTGTCAATATGATTTAAAAAAAAAATTAAATATAAAATAGCATTTAAATGTGACATTATAATTGGGGCCAGATCAACCGTCCATTGAGATTGGATACTAGAATCAGATTGGATACTAGAAGAGTGACATACATGAATTTCCTATACCGAGTGGCGTATAGAAAGTTCTCCCATTGATAAATGGAAACCCATAGATAAAAGATGTAACAATTAAAAAAGGGTTCTATCCCAATGTAGTATTTATTAGAAAGAAAGGCTATAAAGTACACTCTTCCATAACTAATGCCTCTCTCTCTCTCTGCAAAAGAGAGCCACTCGATCTTTTTCGCTACTCTATGCACATACCTTCTGATCAGGGTTTTTATCTTTCTCGCTACTCTATGACCTCATTGTTTTGGAATCACGGTTTTGAGCTTTCCCTTGATCAGGTAAACCAGGAGAACCCAAGGTTTGGAACCTGTAGCTCTAGGATTTATGCCATATGAGCATCACTGCCAAAGCTAAGGGGTTTTAGAAGATGAGCTACAACTACAACCTCCTGAATTGGATCGGATCATGTTAGCATAACTCAACCCCTCTCTCTCTCTCTCTCTCTCTCTCGTTACTAATTTAAATGGAGAAACACAGAAGGAAAGCAATTGGACACTGGATAAAGCTTAAACAATTGATTTAACAAGCACTCTAACGCTAGCACACTTTGACATCAGATTTATGTTTGATGTTTTATCTTGGTGAACTGGAAAGGCTCGTCTCAGATAATAATACAGAAGGCCGACCGGGCAGCCTCGTCAATTCTAGGCTGCCCTGTAAAAGAGCCGCACACTGCGGATTGAAAATCAAGAGCTGCTGTGTGTCTTTGGGGAGCGTATTAAACACTGTTTTGAGATCCGACTTTAGTTTCTGGCATGCCCTTGCTGAATCTGTATCGCCCTTTCCCGCTTGCTGCACCTGAAATTTACGGCAGAAATTATTAAAACCATTTGAGCTAAGTGGGCACTAAGATATTCAAGACATACATAGAGGTTGCTAGAAGTATGGACCAATTACTTTCTACTTATGGTTTGTATCAATGTGCAGATCATAAGAAACGGTGTATTGACTAGTTCTCATGTTAGTCTTGATGCACAAATCCCACGCCATCCTGAAGTCCTGTACGATTCACATTTTAACATAGGATACATAATTTGTCTGCGTGAGTCATATCAAAGAAGAACGTTGAACTAGAATGCCACCTCCTCTGATAGTTCATAACAAGACTATTCATGAACCATTCTATCCATCACCAAATAACAAAGATTTTATTTGTACAATTATCCAAGTATATGAAACTGGGGCGACAGAAGGTTGAGAGAGGAGGGGATGGTTGGTGTCATCTCCATTCAGAAAAGACAGAAAGAGTATCCATCCAGGAAGTTGGGCAGATTTTCTTCTAGACAAGCAAACAATATTGCTGTTCATTCTCTCGAAGGAGGCATAAAATCGTCAAATTCTACGTATGCATGTTTATGGAACCTCAATGTATGTGTGCGTGCACACGCACTCATTATGCCCATCACTTCATGGTGTGCATTAGGTTATTTTCCTAATTTATAATTGTAAAGCAAAGCTACGTAGGCCACTAGCATAGATCTCTCACTAGATATATCGCTACTACTAACAATATCAAAGCTGGCATGGATACCTCTAAAGATCTTATTATGTTCTCTGTTGGGATGGCAATGGGCTGGCCCTGCCCTGGAATTCTTAGGCCTTGGCCCTGGCCCTGGCCCTTTAGCAGGGTCAGGCCGGCCCAGTCCAGCACAATAAGAAATAAGCCAGAAACACCTAACCTGGGGCCTGCCCTGGGGCCTGCCCTGGGGCCACATATAATGGCCCAGACCAGGGCTTTTGCTGGAATAATGGGCAGTCGCCACCCCTCTATTTCTCGCTTTTAAAGTAACCTGCCCAATCAAAATCCAAGCTGGGAAACCAAGAACTGATGAGGATACAACTGTTCTTAGCATCATCTAATGAGAAAGCTGCACATCCAAACACAGCAACAACATCCTGCAAATGGACGAAGTATTTGATGCACCAGGGGATGCAGTTGTTGGACAGCATTCCCCAACGCATCAAACGTCTGGTGGAGTCCTTACGAGGCAAAAATGGTGCTTCCATATAAAGATGAAATGAACAGTGCAAAGAGCTTTAAAAAAGAACACCACTTTTAGATTTCAAATTTTATTTTATTTTTTAAGATTCATAATCACCATGGTCGAGGTTATTACCCCTAAAAATTTGGATCCAAAACCATCTTTATATACATCGCAAACATGGATTTCAGAAGGGGGAAGCATATAAATAGATGAGTCGGCTGACTTAATAGAAACCGGATCCTTTACAAATTGGTCTTGAAATGCTGAAGATGATCGCCTACTTGAGTCTTAGCAAGCACAGCATTCATTTTCTTTTTTTCTTTTTGCAAACTTGAGTCTTAGCAAGCACAGCATTCCTTTCTTTTCCTTTTGCACGTACTGCTAAGGTAAAAAACTAACCAATCAAGTTAGCCAGCCACAACCTTGCACCCTAGGCAATGCATACGAAAAAAATTCTAGACGCCGGGCATCGCAACATATTACCAACTTTAAGAGCTCACTAAAAACCTACAGATAAGGCCTCACATCTCTACCAATATATCAGCCCTCTTGGAGAAACAAATGCACTAGACCGCAATAAGTCCCAAATTCTCTACCTCAGGATCCTATGATCACCTCAAAAGATAAGATGTCAGACAAGCCACCCCACTTTAACCTCTGAAGTATCCCTAACCAACACACCAACATAAGTGGCTATCTGCCGATCTGAGAACAGGTCCATAAGTGTGGCATCACCACACTAGACATGGCTACAGAACCAAAGTCTACAACGGACCCTACCCTTAAACCTAATGCTCTTCTTTTACTTTCTTGGGTAGAAAAACCTAATGCCCTCCCGAACCCCTACCCCAAAAATGCAATTCTCCATGAAGCTGAGTAAAACCATAATTACCCATGGCATGTGCATGTATCAATATCAGAAATAATGTTATATTATTTAAACACAATGATAATTTATGTTAATTCAAAGCCCAATACATATTTTGTAGCATCTGCATCTTATACCTCTGAATGAAGATTTACATAAAAATAGTAGTTCTTTGTATAATGCAGTAAACATTATAAACTTAGAGGTGTATGCGCAAACGTAATGGATTTCTAAAACAAATTACACTTGACTTACAAAATGTAACAAAAGTATTATCCCTACAATAAACAATGATTTAAATAAGGAAAAAGTTTATATAGAGCTCTAAACAATCACTTTTGAGCCTACCTCAAAATTTCACTAGAAGAGGTTGTTTTGATGCCCAAATATCCTCAAATTGATCATCTCAGCATCACGATGCATAGACATGAGTAAAAAATGGATTTCAAGTTTTGGAAATAGTATATTTTGTAACGCATTTTTGGACCGTCAATATTCAAGATTTTCAAGTTTTCATAGATCTATCTATCTACACTATTTTTTAAGCTTTAAACTTTATAAATAAAAATGAAAATATATTTTAAGGCTATCACAAAGATTTTCAGTATTGAAAACACATTTCTCGACACTATTTGAAGGTAGGCTCTAATTTGATTGTTTAGAGGCTAGGCTCTATACAAACCGCACCCTTTAAATAATAAACATATATTATATTTATTCAACCTAAAATTTCTTTAGTATTCAAGCCATCCCAGAATGAGTCCCAAATTCTTCACCAGATCCAATGGCACGAGAGAATTCATAATGCAATACCTGATCCACTGCATGGGCTGGTAGGCCGATTCACTTCATGGGGGGAACCAAACCGGCTCGACTAATACCCAATTTAGATCGGACGATTCCAATCCGGATCGACGATTTTTAAAACATTGGTAACAAGTATGGAAAGTGATATGTTAATTCCCAATCAATCACAAACTTTATATTATGGCCACGAAGACAAGTAGGGAGAAGCTATTTCTTCTATTCTAGATCCTTACCCTAGTTCTTACAAGTTATGGAAGCCACCTTGGAACATGTGTAGTACAAACATAAGCAATATGTATCCAACATATTTACTCCACAAGGACCATGACGTAAAAGAAATCATATGCAAACAGTCAAGAAATGTGAAGCATCAAACGGAAACAATGGGAAAGTGCATGTGAAAAATGCACGTGAACAGTAGTTTGAAGCGTAGTGAGGAAGAGGGGAAGAACTACTAGAGAGAGGCTAAGTTATGTACTTCTCGGGACTTCATATTGCTTTCAAATTCTTCTCTTCTTGCTTATCACCGACTTTTCGCTGCCACGACTTATATGTTATTTATGTCTTTACCTCACTCATGTTTTATCAAGGACGACGGTGGAAGTCTTATCAGTTGAGAGAGGGAGAGAGGACTCTACAGGTCTAAACGATCACGTCGAAAGTATGTCTAAAACACATCATGTGCCCGTTTTCCACATTGTTCTTTCCTCCATCTCACTCCTCTTGACATTCATTCTTTTTTGATTCTCTTCTGTCTAAATGACTATTCATTCATAATATTAAGGGGGCACGCACTTTCTTATGCTTTAAGAACATGAGCATCTCATCTACCTATTTGTTTGTACTTCACTCTTTCAGTTACGAATTCCGCATACAAGCAAGTATAATCATCATTCACAACTACATATGCATCATATCATATATGTACTGATAAGGAAGGAGGATTTGCAATGCGAGATAGAAAAACACATCTCTTCTTGGCGCTTGTGCATTCCACTCCATGGTTCGGGTCCTTAGTCGGTCTATTGATAGAGATAAATCATTTCTTCCCCCTCCTTTTTTTGAGTTACCAAGGAATGAGGAAGAGTGTATTGGAAAGAGAAAGTTATGTTCCTCTCCCCTTAAATTGAAGAAAGACAGCACTGAAACCTGGATCAAATCACAGAGAGAAGAATGAAAGCCAAACGGCAGGAGAAGAGGTGTCCAAAAAAGGCTAAATTCAATGGCTGGCTTGTGTAGCCAACAAGCCCCCTAGCAGAGCGAGTGCTTGCTTTGATGTGTAGCATCAAAGCAGTCGCGACTCTTGCTTTTGGGCTCATGTTAAAGGAGTATGCTTAGAAAGGAATGGTGTCAACCTCCTTCCCACAAATCTTGCAGAAAAAAGGAACACAGGGTGGAGACTTAAGACTCCAAACAAAGCAATCAAACATAGTCACCACAGTGGCCATTGAAAAAAATTATGTCAGTCAAGCCCTCATCTCGACTAGATGACTTCTTTTGCTTGAAAGAAAGAAGAGATAGGAAGTAGTAGCAGCAGTAGTCGAAGGAGCCTTCCCGCCTCACTTACTAAATACACTAGCTTCATTCCTTGCTACGCCATCAAGCTAAGGAAGGCGACTACGACCAACCAACTGACGTTTGGAGAAGACCTGCCTTGTTGCTCGCCCTTACTCCCCGAAAGTATAACACGCCGTCTAATACATCCAAACCAATACAACAGTCTTCCCAAAACTTCAGCAAAGAAGAAAATTAGTGTCTCCATACCTACCATCACCTTGAATCAAGGGAGGACCAGCTGCCTCGCTCCCTCTCCCAAGGAGGTGAGACTGAGTACCAAAGCTATCCGAAGGTAAAGGTACTGGATCATCTCCCATTAAAATCAATTACCTGAGGGCGTCATTCAGCCTCCTTTCAACGGAAGGGAGGCCTGAACTTGCCGCGCTCCCTCCCTCACTTGCCCCTGACAAGGAAGCGCGAATTGAATCAATTACTTGTTTCAGTCAACTTGCTCTCAAACTAGCCATACTCGAACTGACCTCATAGACACGAGGAAACTCGATTCCTTGTTTCCCTCCTCCCCACCAGCTTTCCTACTTCGCTGGCTCAAAAGCCTACATATGCACTAGCGCGCATGTAGT